GAGTGGGGCTGATGGGAGCTGTAGTACAAACCAAGTGAGAGGCAGTTTAGGTTGTCTGTTCTTGTTCTAAGCCTTTCACAGGCCTGGAGCTAGGCTACTTGGTTATATATCCCTGCAGGCTGCGTAGTTCAAATCTTGCTTGTCCACATATTATTGTCACGGCAGGTCTAACAGCAAATGGTTGCCTGATCTACTGAGCAACAAAGACAAGGAGTTTAAATTACCATTAGGCCTTACATAGTTAGGCAAGGCTAACTATGAGCTTCAGTCAAAGCGGGACCTAAAACCTTTTCTAATAAAGACAAGCAAACAGGATCACAGGTGCACAACACTGTAATCTCATTCATCTTGAAGTCCCAGTACTGCAGACCACAAGTGTCTGATAGGGTGGCCTGAGGGGAAAAGACATCTTTTGTTTCTCCCTCCCTCTCAACGCAAACATTGTGCAGAACATTTTCAAGCTCACCCTGCAGTCTCCCTTGTAACCCCTCCACAGGCATCACGGATAGAAGCCAGGCTTTCTGCATCAGGGTCCTTCTTAGTCAAAGGGGATCTTTTCTCACAGCAGTCTCTCTCCTAAAATGCCCTGAACAGAGTTGCTGATAATGGAGTTCACTGCGAAAAACATAGCTGTTTTTTCCACACATTTTGTAGCAGTCTGCTTACCTCTCAGCAAATGGGGCAAGATCTCCTAAAGTCTGTCAATACTTCTTTCTGAGGTGCTGCAAAGTGCACCTCTGAAGTGAAAATACATTTATCCCCTTTGTTCTAGCATAAGGATTAAAAATTCCATTTCCCCCAGCTATTGCTACTTCTCAGTCTGAATCTAGAACAATTAAAGAAAGCATATACTTTTTTCTAATATAGTAAGAACCACAAACCAATTCCACCTGCCCTGATGAAGTGATTACTGCCAAAGCCATGTATTCTCTAAGATTCTGTCCAAACACAGAACAGCTGTTAATTTAAAACAAAGCTAAGATGCTGATTTAAGGTTCTGGCCCTTAAGTATGTGAGACACCTGAGAAGTTTTCCAAAGCCAGAGGGAGGTTCAGTTTCCAGTAGTTAGTGGATGGGCTTCATTCTGCTGCACTGCTCATTTTATTTCCTTTTCAATTTCAGAAGCTGGGCAAATTATGCAAATTGGAACATGCAAAACTGCATAATATATGCAGGCTGCAGAATTTAGTACAGACTTAAGTGTAGCATGGAGCACACAATCCAAATTACTCCCCTTTTAAACTAAAATTTAACTCAATCTTACAAACAAGAAGACATTTCTAGGAGAAAAGCTTGAGGAGTCTTGTGAAATTTTAACAACCAGAAGATTTACTACAACACAAGCTTTCATGGTGTGCAAAATAGCTTTGTTGGTGGGTGATAGCAAATTATCTTGCAGGATAAACTGATGCCAAAAATGCCCTTGTGTGGTTACAAAGGACAAACAGGTGATCTTTACACAAAAGGGGAAAATGGACAAAAATTGACATTAAAAATGCCAATATTTTAAAACTAGTGGGACAACATTTTAGACTTTCAGGACATCCTAACCCAATACTTTTTATTCAGTAAAAGCAAAAACTTTCAGAAAAAGATGCCAACATGACATTGCTCAGTAAAAGTTTTTCAGTTAACTGAATTCCATTCATTTAGTTCATAATCAAGAACTAAAGTTTCCCAAATTTCAGTCTTGTATTAGGTTCTGCTATTAGACAACCGTTGGTTCAGTGCCAACCCACTGCAGTTATTTCAGGTCAAATGAGTGTGTAGATGCTTCTTAACAATGGTGTGTGCAGGGATGAGGGGGACCAAGATATGCCTGTGAAACTTTGACTTCATTGGTTTGGCCCTGCTGCTTATTCCATATCAGTTGAACGGAAAAATAAGTCAGATAAGTGGTTCCTATTCTCTGTTATCAGAGGCAAAGCACATTAGGCCCAGCTCCACCCACTGAAGATTTTCACCATAACCCAATGTCACTGAGCTGCCTGCCTTTTCTCCACTACAAAGGTTTTCTCTCCCCAAATTTGCTTGCTGCCAGGTATCTGCAATCACATGGTCAGGACTAAACTCCAGATCATAAGGGACGTGGATATATTAATGCATTTGTGTTAGCAGCATCCACTACATCACTTTTCTGGGCATCATTTACTACTTCTGCCCTTCATGAATGGCTATTCCTATTTGATGGGAACATCAAAATGTAGCAAAAATGTGCCTTTCTGGTTGTTAAAGAGCATAACACATACCCTCAAGTAGATTTCAATGAGACTGAATGAGATTTCAATGAGGCTTTTATTGTGCAATTGCTCTGCCTTGTTCTTGCAATTCTGTGACGGTCCAGATGATGCTACTCATACCTTCCACCTGCAACCTTCCCTCCCATGTTTTTCCACTGCTCTACAAAGGAGGCAAAAATGAACCATTGCACTATGCCTTTAGACTGGCAGCCATGCTAAGAGCTCTCTGTATGGAAGCATCCTTCAACTGAAGTTGCTCCAAGGTCAGGGCCTGCTACTGGCATTACATTTCATCTGGCTATGGAGTGAGCATGCACATATAGTCTCTCCTTGCCACCAAATTGCTGCAGCCAGCCCAGCTGAGATTCAGAGGCCGTGTTTCAGGCAGACTTGAGCACCACTCTCACCTCGGCTTGAGCCATGCCTTTGGCTCTAGCCCTTGTCCTGCCTCTTGCTGTTCTTCTTTCTGGCCAAGCTCCACGCTCAGAGCCAGCAAGGGGGAGAGTGATGATGGCCCACAGGGGCACAGCCCCAATCGCCACAAAGCCTTTGTTGACAGGAGGCAACTGCATCGTCCCAACAGACAAGGAGACTTCATTGTGCCAAAAATGGGAGGGGAAATATACGTAACCAACTCCTGTCTCCAAACAAGCATAACAAAAACATGCCCTATTTACACAGTGAAGGAGAACAGCCAGCCCAGGAAGGAACTCCATGGGGAATCTGGCTTTCCCAAGCAAGTTTGAACAAAGAAGTGTGCCTAAGCCTTGGTGAAGTCCAAGACACGCCAAGCTCAATGCCACTTTCTGGCAATAAAAGCTACGAAAAGCTGTCCTCATGCCAAGGGCCTGCGCTGAAGTGACCAGCCTTGCAATGTCACACCATGATGCATACAAGTATCTCTACAAGAATGCACTTCAGGTACCATGGGGAAACTTGTCTTACAAGCTGGGCTCTGTATTTTATGTAGATCGAGACTGACAAACAAGAAGCATTGAAGACTTGGCTGAAGGACCTGCCACATCCTGTCTATTACGTTTATTTATGCTCAGCTGTAGGGAATCAATGGTCTGGAATACAGACACACCTTTAAAGCAAGGGACACCTGCTGTATCGCCTCCAGCAGCTATAAAACACAGAGTAGCAAAACAAGAGTGTTAAACCAGAGGTTATTCAAAATCAGCAGCTAAGCCCTTGATGTGTCTTATCCTTTCAAACCATGTTACATAGCTGGGGCATATGACTGACTGAAACACATGGGTTGGGTAGGAGGAAGAGAGAACTGGCAAGTGTCACAAGGAGGGAAACCAAAAGGAGGAAGTTGCCAGCTCCACAGAACTCTCTCAATGCAAGATATGGAGGGGAATGGGTGGTGCGGAGGGAACAGGTACCTTCACCCCATTTTCTGCCCACAAGTTCCTCTCAGATCGACTCCTTGGTTGCGTCTCTCTAGACATCTTCCCAAGACTGTAAATGAACTACTCCCCTCCCCGCTTCGTCCAGGTTTGACATTTTTAAACTGTACATGCATAATGTGTGCTTCCAAGCAAACACGTGTGATAGGTACCAGGCACCAAAGAATTGGCAAGTGCGATGGCTCCTAGATGTGTCTTTGCGTGTTGTTGTGGTGACTGCATATTTATTAATTCTCTATACTTCCTAGTGGTCAAAGTGCTCTGTGAAATTGTTCTGTAGTTCTACTATATAATACTTGGATGAATGCTCATTGTGCTGGCTACTCTGGAAAGTTGATAACCTACTGGGCATTTTAAGGATCTTCTCTCTTTACCTCTCCCCCCAATCTCCCACTCTTTTATTTCCAGATTAGTTTACTACTTCTACCCCCAGGGAGGACACAGTATGCCCGTTCCCCCCCCCCCCGAGAAAAGGAAGCCTTCCAATATCATGTGACAGCCCTGCAAATGAATGATCACAGCCTTACTTTGTGAGGCTCAACCCCTTGCCCTTCTCCGTCCAAATGTCTTCCCACAGGTGTATACCTGGCCGGTTTACACAGATGCCACCCCCACGGGGTTCAATGAGCATCCCAGCTCAAAGCCCCTAGTGTGATCTCCCTCGGGATATAGCAAGGTTTCTTCCACTGAATGAGTCCACAGTGCCATCCAGCCCAGAGAACTGCTGACACTGGCGGCAGCGGCTTTCCAGAGTTTCGGCACGAGTGTTCCTAAGCCCAACCTGGAAACGCCGCGGGCGGAACCCAGGGCCTTCGGCGTGCAAAGCAGGTGCCCCGCCGCGGCGCTCCTCCAGTCGCCGGAGGGTGACCCCACCCCAGGAGAGGAGGCGCGGCGGGGACGCGCTCACTCACCGCTTTCAGCTGCTCCAGCCGGTCCTTCATTTTGGACGGGTGCCGCCGCGGCTCCTCTCTGGGCGCAGCGCAGACCCGGGCGCAACTCCTCGGAGGGAGAACTTCTCCAGGAAGTGCGGTCCCAGCACGGAGCCCAAGGGGAAACTTCCCCGCCTTTTTCTCTTCGTACGCGCTAGGCGCGTTTGGGTTTCATCCGTACGGGGGGGAGCCACAGGCGCTTCCCTTCCTCCCGGCCGCGCCCCCCCCCGGCAAATCTAAATCTGCTTCTCCCCGCCTTCCCCCTGCGCGCGTGTGCGTGCGCGTGTGCGCGCGTGTCTGATCCCAGGGCGCTGAGCTGGCCCCAGCTGCTAATCCACAACGACATACACGAAGGGAAGGGAAGGGAAGGGAAGGAAAGCGGGCGGGCGAAGGCCAGAGGCACCTCCCATTATTACCTGAAATCGGTCTTAAAGAGACATTGCCCCGCCAAAGTCGAGCGCAGGGACTCTTGTCGCAGACCCTCCATTCCCACGTGTTTCTCATGGAACTACGCACAAGGAATGCCTTAAACTGGAAAATCGCCGAGGACACATCTTTTTGACTACGACTGCTGCGATTTCCGATGATGACAATGTTCGATTCGAGGACTCTGCCCCGAGGACCTTATAAGCGAGAAGCGGCATCACTGCAACTACACTTACGTTGGTGCGCTTGGATAAGAACTACGGACAAGCAAAAGCTTCGTGGAAACGGGAAAAAAATGGCTTCTGAGGAGGGGTTTGTGGGGGAGAGCTCGGCCTGGCCTGAAGGAACGATTTAGAGAGCAGTGAACTTTCTGGGCTTCATCAAGCAAGACACTTTCTTACTATGCTAAATATCTGCACAGTATTGCATGTTTTCTTGTTAATTAGAAAACTAGATCTGGACACTACTTGAGCGACTGTTCTTGTCCAACTAAGGCTACCTTCCTTTTTCGAGAGGAGGCTTAAGGCTTTTAACAGCTATGGCAACAAAGATCCAGAATGGGAAAAGGAGCAACAGCGAGGCTTCTTTCTAGATCAGATTTATGTCGGTCTGTGTCTTCAACAGTGGGATGCTATTAAGAAATTCAGAAACAAATGGATATGGAGCAAGTAATCCCTATTGTTTGCTCCACCTCATAATAATTGACTAAGATGGTGGGAGACAGGGTTTCTTCTGAAGCCAGTCCTTTACAGATCTTTATAAAAAAACAACAACAACTAATTTTTCACTGTCTCCTGCTGGAGGACAAGTGCTAGAAATGTACAGTGATTGAAATTTAGAGTACAATTTGCACATTTAGATAGAGAAAAGGTGCACAACACTGCATTCCATGGCCACTTTGGGGGGATTAACCATGCATACATGGAATATTTGGGAGGAGCTGACATGAGAATTTATATAAGTCATTTTATATACTTGTAGTTCTGTGATATTCTGGAAAATGCAGAATTGAAGATAGCCCCACTGTGGACAGAAACAGAATCATTTAGCGGGTACAGGAAGGACCGGCTGTACAGCATGCATAGATCTCAATTCTAACATCTCACAGGCATGCAGCCCCTCAGGTAATTGTCTCAGTCTGCCTTTTGGAAGACCTGCCCTTGTTTGGGAGAGCGGGAGAGCAAAGAGTGTGAGATGGCTCGAGCCTATTGAGGATGCAAAGTTTCTCTCCAAAGTTCTGCTGTGCAGTGGCTGATCTGCTGCCTGATATCCATGCCTGTTTTTTGCCTCCATTTATCCTGTATTCACATATATGCCGATAAATCAAACATTTAAAACCACAGGACATCTCCACCCAGCTTTTCTCCAAAGGTAGTCCAAGACATGCTGCCCCTGGAACTTCTCTCTGTTCAAAGAAGTGGAAAGCTTGCAAAAATATTGTATAGATTCATTATGGAATGAGGTACCAGTGTGAGAGTTGTAGACCGTTTTTCTGCCAAAACATGCAGAAGATTTCACACTTTGTAATTTTTTTTTTTTTTGCATGATATTTGAGCAGAGTCCTGCAGGGCTTTCCCCCAGTGCCCTGCTGGCTTTATGCTGCTGTCACTAGTCCCTCCTGAGCACTGCCAAGGCAACTGCGTGGACTTGCAGTCCCTGACCATGTAGCCTAAAAGGAGGTCACCAGCAAATGGAGGCCCTGACTTTGTTTGCCAGCTGCTGGCAGGAAATTTGCTATTTAAATTGATGATGATGATGATGATGATGATAAATTCAGAAGGACACACTGAGAGCCAGGGTGGTGTAGTGGTTAAGAGCAGGGGACTGGGACTCAGACGATCTGGGTTCTAGTCCTCGCTCAGCCATGGAGCCAACTGGGTGACTTTGGGCCAGTCACAGACTCTCAGCCCAACCTACCTCACAGGGTTGTTGTTGTGGGGATAAGATGGAGGAGGAGAATGATGTAAGATGCCTTGAGCCCTTTGTAGGAAACAGGCAGGATATAAATCAATCAATAAATAAATAAATGATAAAAGAAGGGTAGGGTTCCTTGCAGGTAGTTGCCCAGGAGTGCAGTGCTTCCTATGGGCAGCACCTATCCTCAGATTAGAGTGAATGTTGGACGAGGTTTGGAATGACTGAGGTTCAAATGCTAGTTGCAGATATGACGCTCACTGGCTGATATTGGAAAGTGACAATTGATTAGCCCACTCTACCTCACCAGGTAGGTGTAGGAGTTAAGGGTAGGGCGGAGGAAAGCATGGTGCTGTCCTTAGAGGATGAATGGAATGAAACTGCAATAAAAGCCACATTGCTTTCCCCACTAGATTGCTCTTTAACAGCAGTGTTGGTTGGTATACAGTAAACAAGGAACCACTGCACTTCCTTGAAATTATAAGGAAGGAAAACTATGTTCAGAAAACCAGGAAATGTACCCCAGTGTATGTGAACTGAAATGATACAAGTGAAAGAAGAAAGTACAAAAGCAGTAGCTGATTATTAAGAAAACAAAAATCATGACTAGGGAAGAATTACTGTTTATCTTTACTGTTAATAATTAAAAAATTGAAATCGTGAAAGACTTTACATACCCCAACTCTGTTGTCAACTCATATGCAGACTGAGCCAAGACATTCAAAGAAGACAGATACTTGGAAGGGCAATGAAAGAACTAGAAAAGATAATCAAGTCAGAGGACATTTGGAGACCAAGGATAAGATAATTTCCACTATAGAATTTCCATTTACTGTGTATGGGTGTGAAAGCAGGACAGGGAAGAAAACTGGAAGCAAATTGATGAGTTCAAAACACAGTGTTGGAGGATAGCTTTGCAAATACCCTGGACCAACAGGGATGGACAACCAGGCCCTAGATCAACTCAAAGCAGAACTTTCTAGAAGCCAAAATAGCAGAATTGGGGCTGTCATGCCATGAATACATCAAGAGAAGGCAGATCTCCCAGGAGAAGACAATCCTGCTAGGCAACACTGAAGGCAGAGGAAGGAGGGAAAGGCCAAATATGAAATGGATTGACTCCATAAAGGAAGCCACAGCCTTGAATTTTCAAGGGCTGGGTAGGGCTCTCATGGATTAGGCACTTTGGAGGGCTTTAATTCAAAGGGTCACCATATGTTGGAGACAACTTGGTGGCGCACAGCGACAACATAAGGCTGACTGTCTCCTTTTTCATAATCCACATGATCTACAGAACTGCTCCTGCCATGCCTGCCAGAATGAGCCAGGCAGCTGGCCAGCCCAACTACCACTATCCTGCATCTTGTTTGCATTGTCGATACTGAGAGACCTGCTTTCACAGGGATGAAAAATATATACCATTCATCAGAGATAAGAGTCTGAAAATATGCCACAATTACAGGGCAGTGAATTAGGAGCCCCTAATGTTGCCGAGGGTTATTGACTCTAACCAGTGACCTGTTGGAGCACTGGGCTTGTAGGTGTATAAAGGAGGAAATGCTCCGTTAGTGTACCTGGCACCAAGCCATTTAAAGTAATTAGGATTAAAACCATCTTAAACTGAATTTGCAAGCAAGGCTGCAAGCAACTATGGATGGCAAAATACCAGCAATACATGATCATCTCATCCAGGGCAGCTGCTGCTCAAAGTAAACTGGAGATTGAAGAAAGTTGTTGTAGCAGGATCGCCGTTATCACGTTCAGTCGTGTTTTCCCATTATTTTTTATTGTGAATTTTGGTAAAGCAAAAACAAGCACCATTTAAAGAAAATAAAGTATTAGAGTTGCCTAATGTAAGATCTGACTATAGCCATGACAGCAGATATAACTGCAATGTGTATGCATCTATATTTTATATATGATAAGATGCATTACTGTTCTTAGGCATAATTATGCATAGACTTCCACAAAGGCAGACCAAATATCCCTCTGTCTGTCCATTTGCCAATTATACGCAAGGACCACCCATTCAAACATTGAAAGCATCGTTAAGTCCTCGACCTGTTGTACTATTGCAGGTAGTCATTTTCCTTCCAGTGTTATAATATTAGTCTTTTAGCAGTCAGAGGGTGCAGAGAGTTTAATTATGCTGATCGTGTATTAATTTCCAAGAAGTTGGTAGGTAATTGAGACCAGCCTGCACATCAATAGATGTTAAAGATCTTTATTTCACAAAGTTTATCCATATTATTATCTCTTCTACAAAAAAGGCAGCCATTAAAAATTTCCAAAAAATATGTGGGTAAAAGAAGCGTAAGGTGTTACATCTCCAACATTTAGATGGTTTAGAGTAGACAAACCCTCATCATGAAGATGTTGTGGTATCCAGTATCCCCAAAGCATACTTGAGATGCCTGTAAAGGATTGGATATAAATGCTTTAAATAAATAAAAATAAATAAATATACCTAAGATGTGTTAACCCTTCTGAAACAAATGTCAATGCAGCAATCCATTTATCAGGCAAAACAGGACAATCCAAATTGATAATTGTTTGAGACCTTCTATGTAACATTTATTGTCTAATAATAGCTATTTATGTGGGTTGATATAGCTGTTCAGCCGCAATTAATACATAGAGGCTTGGAAGCTATAAGAAGCCTTGAGGCCTAACCTAAATTCAAGCAAAAGTTTCAGTTGGACATATTGGCATGCAGCTGTAACTGACAAATCGTATTTGGTGTACAAAGCAGAGAATGGCAGAAAATAGCTATCAGGACCCACTAGCTGATTCAGAGTAAAAATCAGATGATCCGTCTAAATCCTTCAAACAAAGGTTTTCTTGCCAATGCTGAATTTGTGTTTGACCATTCAAACTTTCCATGGTAACCGCAAAGTATTCAGTTAACACAGAGATAATAGACAGGGCCCTGTGCAGGCACTCTTTGAACTGGTCACTACTTAGATTTGTTCAAGATAGTTCATCTGCTGACATCACTAGATTGTGGCAATACTGCACTGTTCCCAGAAGCCCCTGAGGCTACCTACTCTTAGGAGAAAGTTCATTAGTCACACATGCATGCACATGTATAGTTGGAGAAGAATCTGGGGTGT